GGGGGTGGGGTTCCGTTGCGGGAAAGGGAAAAAAAAAAAAAAAAAAAAAAAAAAAAAAAAAAAAAAAAAAAAAATCAGGAACTTAAAACATGTACCAGAGTACTTCAAAAAGTTAATGGAAAGGTTTGTCTTATTTTCTTAATCCTATTTTTCCACAAACTTTTTTCAGTACCCTCGTATATGTTTTCTTACTGCCAATCCAAACTGTACTGCAACATTGCAAATGTGGTTCTACCTCCTACCTACCTTAGCTGCCTGGCAGAAATATCCACTGGTCCTCAATCAGGCAGCACCTCCTTTATGAAGCCCTGGCAGCCCAGTGTTACCAACTCTAACTACTGCTAAGCAGGTCACACTATGTTGTCATTATGGGTTTACATATCGGTGTCCCATACTATACTGAAAAGGCAGAAACTGTGTCATATTCATTTCTGAATCCCCAGAGCCTAAGAGAGTGCCACATCCTAAAACCCTTGCCCTACGTTTCCCTGGCCAATTTATTAAACCAGTCTCCACCTGAAGTCCCAGCTCTTTACTACTCTATAATTTGAAATTTCATAATCTCATCCACATCTTGGAACTGAGGGCAGATCACGTTATCTGGGGTGTTATGCTTCTACATACAGTTGTTCAGTAAAACGCACTGTAAAATGGTGAAAATAATGCTTATCAGAAAAACAACTGGAAATAAAAAATAAGTAGTTAGACACAGCACTAGACACATAAATCTGGAAGATTTGACAGAAGTAGCATTTGAAGAGATGAAACTCCTGAATTAGGTCACTTAGGGATTGTGGGTAGCCAAAGAATACAGGCATAATAAAAAAGAACTTGGAAGGGCTAAGAACGGGCAATCAATGACTAAAGAGAAAAACCAGGAATGTATGTTGTTTGAAAGTCAAATGAGTCAACGAGGAGAGTCATCCAGCTACGATAAACGCTACAGATGATCAAGTGGGAAGGTAAGGCGTTATATTTCTTTCCCAAACTAGTAAATCCTCCAAAACTGAAACAGAGAAAAACTGAAAGATACCACTTGACATTCATTTACCAGTGACAGAGGAAAAACAGAAGTTATACCACTGTTATCTAATATAGATATTTTATTCGTTTTCATTACTTGTACGTTATTCCAGAGCACCACATTTTCCTTTTCATATCCACACGAAACAAGCTTTCAGAGAACACAACAATTCTCTTGGGCATCGTTAATTTTAAATGAAAACCTCTTAAGTTGTTTTAACAGCTGAGACTCTGCCTGAAACAACCAGTGTCTCCCAATCAGCTGCCGCTCTTTCCTAAGAAATGCAGGTTAGTCATAACTTTAAGAGTCAAGACGGTCTATAGCGCACCCAGTTCTCAAAAGAGAATGGGCAAAAGTGTCAACATTCCCGGAGGGCTTAGAGAAAGTTAGCTCCTGGAAGGGAGGGGCTCGCCTCCCATAAAATAGACGCTCAATATTTTTGATTTAACTTTGGAAAAGATGTATTTCACAGCGGGGTAAGGTGGGGGATAATGGGGGACGCGAATTCCAGGGCACTGTGCCCTCCAGAAAATCGCATTCGCACGCCCCTAATAGTCTTAGCAAAGAAGGGACCGGCGAGCTGCGTTCTGCCGCCAGGTAGAGCACCTCATTCGCAACTGCATTCCACACCCTAAGCTTAAAAGAATACCCCTTGCCCTCGGCCGGGGCTCACCTTTCTCCGGAGTGGGGAAGACACGCGGCCCCCGGAAGCCTCAGAGGGGGCGTTTCCGCAAACCCCTCACCTCCTCACCGGACACTTCCCGGGGCGTCAGGCTCCCTGCACTAGGAAAGGAGCACTGAGTCTCCGAGTCGCGGCCGCCACAGCTCCCTCAGGTGCGCCCAGCGGCCCGGTGTGCGCGCGCTGGCGCCTCGTCGCTTAGCAACCTGCAAAGCTGTCCTGTCTGGCGGACAAATCAATTCCCCCGCTCCTCCACTGTGTGAGTAGTTTTTTAAAAAGATATTGTTTCCGGGTCGAGTCGGCTTTACGTCGCGGAAGGTGCCTCTTTACCTCCCACGTTTACGCCCGGGGGAGGATAGAGTCTCAGCTACGGGAATACGGGTCATGTCTCTAAGGGGTCCGTTTCCCTTCCCTCGAGTTAACACACGCCTTGCCTCCCGCCAATTGCTGGGCGCCATCAGGCAGGCCCTTTCCTCCTGAGCCCGAGCCATGCGCTCGTAGTCATCCTCCAATCACAGCGGCTCGCCCTCGGGGACTACTTTGCGTCGGCGAAGAGCGCAGGGAGAAGGGCGTGAGGAGACCCTCTGGTCTCGGGAAGTGTAGTTCGGCACTTGAAGAAAATGCTTTGGAGAGTGTGCCAGAACCAGGGCAGCGTGAACTACAGTTCCCAGAGGGCGCCGCGATCGGGAACTGAGCCATTTCTCGCCAAGACCGCTCGCCCTCCCCGAGTAGGTGCTGCTGTAGAGGTGACCTGACTCCCCGGGGCTCATTTTGCAGGAGCAGGTGCGGGAATTGTCCGCGCAGTCCCGAATCATGGTGAGTGTGGGTCCCCGGTTCCTGCCCACCTCCGGCCTCCGCGCCCTTGTGTGGGGTTTCTTGCGCTTGAAAGCTTTTGGGGAAGCGGCTGTGCAAGGTGCTGTCCTTCGCGCCCTTCGGAAAGCCCCGACTCATCTTCTGGAGACTGTCGCAGTAACCCAGTAACTGGGAAGGGGTTGATATCCACGTAGGGGGTTCTTAGAAGGGCTCTTAGAAATCGCTGTCCTTGGAGAGGCGCGACCTCAATCCTGCTGCATGGCGGGGGTACAAAATACTAGGCTGCGGATTTTCTCCGAAGGACGATAAGGGCTATAAGGTTAGATATGGGAGGGGAGGGTTGGTCCCTAATTTCTTTTTCTGCTTTTAAGTCCTTTAAAGCAAAAGGCCCTCGACTGTAAAGGCAGTGCTTACCAGGTGCTCCAGATTACGACCTACGTTTTCAGGAGACGTGTTTCCGCCATGTCTAATATCACAAAATGTTATTTAAAACCTGTTCATTGATCCCCTTTTGTAATGCCAGGACATGTTGAAGATATTCTTTACTGATCTGCATGTTATGAATTCCAGAAGCACTACTTTTAGATGTCACACAGTATAACCATCTTGTCGTCGAAGATCTGGATACTTAGATCTCCATATCTTCCTTCTGCTGAAAGGGAGAGAGAGGTTGGTGAGGGAACTCTGACGTAGGAATAATCTGCGTACTGTTTGAAGGTGACATTNAAAATACTAGGCTGCGGATTTTCTCCGAAGGACGATAAGGGCTATAAGGTTAGATATGGGACGGGAGGGTTGGTCCCTAATTTCTTTTTCTGCTTTTAAGTCCTTTAAAGCAAAAGGCCCTCGACTGTAAAGGCAGTGCTTACCAGGTGCTCCAGATTACGACCTACGTTTTCAGGAGACGTGTTTCCGCCATGTCTAATATCACAAAATGTTATTTAAAACCTGTTCATTGATCCCCTTTTGTAATGCCAGGACATGTTGAAGATATTCTTTACTGATCTGCATGTTATGAATTCCAGAAGCACTACTTTTAAATGTAACACAGTATAACCATCTTGTCGTCGAAGATCTGGATACTTAGATCTCCATATCTTCCTTCTGCTGAAAGGGAGAGGTTGGTGAGGGAACTCTGACGTAGGAATAATCTGCGTACTGTTTGAAGGTGACATTTGTCAGCAGAGAAAAATTGCTTCAGTACTTGTATTTATAGTTGAGATTATTTTTCCTTCTTTATTTAAAAATACTAAAATGGGTAGGAAGTTTGGGGAAATGTTTGAATGAATTGGAAATTTCCTAGAATCTGAAAAGATGTTTTCAAGGCAAGGGAATTACTCCCTCTGCCTTTATAAGGGAGGGTCAGTGGGGACCCAGTAAATGTTAAACCTAGGTTTCCTGCTTATTTTGTCAGATAACATAATTAGCCATTTAAATTATGGCTTCTGTCTTAATAATCTTAGAAAGAAGGGAGAGGTACTTATCAGAGAACCTCAGACTTTATAATTTTAGAGCTGGATAGGACCTTTTGAAGATCATCTTGACAAATCTCCCCACTTCAGATCTTAAAATTGAGTTTATTGAGATCCAGAGAGAATGTGATTTGCTCAAGGTCACACAACAGTTTGCCCCAAGGGTCTCAAACTCTTTCCATTTTACCACATTGTGTCACATACTTATCAAGTCATTCTGAACATTTAATTTTAATAGCTGAGATTCTGTATGATACCAGCTCATACTGCATATACAAACCCAACTATGTTATGAGCATGTAGATTACCTGATAGGTTTATTCCTCACAATTCAGAATATTGGAATTCTAGAATTGGAAGGGGATTTGGAGATTATTTCATCTAATCTTAAAATGTAGCCTGGTGAGGTCAAATGATTTTCCCAAGAATACACAGATTCTGTGCACCAGATTCTTGTGTAGTTTTTGCTACACAGTACACCAAGGCAGGCCTCACCCCTGGAAGGTCAC